AGCCTCTGCGTGTCAAGGACACTTCACATTTCCTCCACTTTTTGAGCTCGAAATAAATACGAGAAATAAAAGAGGTGAAGGAGGCTGTTGTGCGATACAAGTTAATCTACGTTCGTTTGTTCTACACTGACTAGGGCCTGGGGAAAAAAAACAAACAGCATTTTTGATACATTAATAACCCCAGGAATTAGGATTAAGACATACAGCATGATTCCGACCAGCTCTGCTCCTCTACATACCTCACAAATACTGGGGTGGATTGAAGCTATGAAAAGCTCTGTGTGAGAAATACTGCAAAAACGGCTTTACCCCCCAAGACGTGTTGAAATGTCACTGCTCTCTGCATCAGCACCGATATATTTAGAAAGAAGTAGGCAGTGTTGCTCATGCATCTGTGCTTTGAAAAAATAACTCGGAGCAGGTGAGACTCTTCCACAATGAGGATCTTTTTTTAAGGAGGTCAGGATTAGGTGAGACTGTGGTTACCATGACAAAGTCAGTGACTGACAATACTCACGTCAGTGAAGCCAGGCAGCAGGTGGAGGGGGAGGAGGGGCTTCGGATCAGTGGAGGGATGGGTCCTGCACATTGAGGGGCGGGCCAGTGGCGGTGTAACATTGTGACACACGTTACCTGAAAGACAGTACTGCAAGTTAAGTAGATGAGCACATGTAGATGTTGTGACTTATTTAAGGTGCGAAAAGGGAACAAAAATGAAATGGAACTTTTAGTGAAGGATATCTACTGAAAATGATAAACATGTAATCTGAATCTGAAACAAATGTGGATGTGGGCCAGTGAGAGCTTCACCTGTTGACTAGAGAGAGGGACATCTATCCAATCCAATCACACTGTCTGTTAGAAGTATATTAACAAGACAGTAAAGCCAGGAACACTGGCCAATTGTTAGCTCAACATTGATAACTGATAGTTAAAATTGGTGTGTCAGAGCTGGCCCACGGGCCTTACTTTGGGCACCCCTGGCTCCGCGATTATGTAAATGATTAACAAATCACTGAGTGCATGATGTAAACACAGAGAAACTACTGGATTTCAACTGAATCCTGCCCAGGGCCCTTCACCCGGTCTCCACAGAAGCAAAGAATGATTTTGTTTACATGTTGAGCAACATGTCATCATGAGGGCCTCATATGTCGGGACACCAAGATATACACACATACAGTCCAGTACATACAGTTGAGCTCTAATCCCTGGAGCCATTTGGGTGTGACTGGGCTAAAACACTGGGAATTATTTTGTTTGTGGGGGTCTATATGCACCCCACACTGGTTGCTGTATTCATACTGATTTCCATGACGTAGTTGCAGCTACATTTTGAGGAACAATAAAACATTATTAAATGAAACTCATTTTTAAAAAATGACTTTGGCTCAATGTAATCATTATGACTCAAGCTGCTGAGAGAAAAATGCCTTGTTGATTCTGATCATAGGAGTCAGTTGTGCAGTTTGAATGTTCTTTCAGCCTGATTACAGTGTGATTTAGGACCAGCCCATAAGTATAATCTTAATCAAAACACACACATCCGCCCCGACACAGGCTGATTGCCTTTAACGAGTTTAAATGGTGTGTGTGTGTGTGCGTGTGTGTGTGTGCATGTGCGTGAGAGAGAATGTGTGTTTACTTTCATGAAATTGGAAAATATTTTAGGCAGTTTTCAGGATGGATCACCAAGTGCTTGAAGATATGAAAAAAATAAAAATAAAAATTCAGTCATATCAGGTCCACCTGATTAATATTTATGATTAAACATTTTATTTTTTAAATGTTTGCTTAACTGTGGATCCTGGGTGATGAATTTTTACCATTTTATGGCATACATAATGCTTTTGTAAAACCTGTAGCATCCGTTTTTGTTGTGGCAGCATTTCCACTGGAATCACTTTTTAATATTATCTTTTGTTCTCCAGTCTCTGGACTTAGTCCTTTTCTTAACTGGCTTTGTTAATATAAGTTTATCCCAAGCATGAATTATGTTTGGCATTGCTGTCGGGGGGAGAGGGAAAGAAAAAAATGTTTTCTCTAGATGACCAAACTGTCGGGGGGAGAGGAAAAAAATGTTTTCTCTAGATGACCAAGGAGACTAACCAATTTGACCAACAAATGAAATGAGTGCCATCCAATCAGGTTACAGAGCAGGGCTAGTTATACAAGTCCTAACCTTCCTGCTGTGGTTGATGGATGATGAAGGCAGACAAACCTCGCATTTTTGTTGACTGGACATGACAAATAGCAACTTCACCTTCAAACTGAGTGCAGAAATAATAATATTTTTAAAGCAACCAAAAAGCAGCTTCAAGTTAGAAACCCAGCCCTGTAATGGTAGACATTTCAAATAAGAAGTAAAGACAGAATACAGACGGAGGCTAGTTTTCCAGCAGATGTAAACAACACTATATACTTTCTGTTATAATAAAAATAATATAGTTTATCCAATTAAAATATTCAAGGGATTATTATTTGTGTGACTCTGAGTTAATACCAAACTTTTTCTGCAGCATCTACCTTATGTGTACTGGTGGCCCCTTGCTTTAATTCCACTTCAATTTTTAAAATCTAAAATACAGTTAAAAAACCTACTACAAAACTGTTCTTCTCATGCAACAAAGGAAATAAAATTAAAAATCAATGCAATTTTCTCACTGTGAGACAAGTGAATAAAATCCTGAACTCCAAATCCTCTTGCCTTGCATTCATCCCCCACAACAAATCTACTCTCCTAAATTACAGCAGCCCCCCTCTTTGGTAACCACTTTTGACTTTTTTTTTTTAAATGATTTCTCTCATGAGGATATCCTCAGTCACTGTCACCTTAGTTTTGTCACTGCTAAGAGATGCACCAAATAACCCATCTGTCCGTCTACTCCATTGTGCAGGTGATTGAGTTCATATCTGTTTCAACATAGCAACAAGTGACTCCACTCCGACTAAAACACACACTCACACACAAATCTCCACTGACAGACAAAGCCTATCAGATCGTGTACATACCAAAGTACATGGCGGCGGAAGGAAAGCCCTGATTATTCAGTATTCAGTAAAAGTCTCTCTCATGTCCAGGCGGACTTGCGCTGCAGCAGCGTCTTCTCCTCAACACTCTCACTCTCCTCTGACTCTCCTGCAGCGCAGACACTGCTCCTTCAGCTCTCTCCCTCCCCCTCTTCTTCCTCCTCCCCCTCACCACCCACCACTCCTCCTCCTCCTCTACCTCTTCCCCATCTCCACACACTCTCTGCATCTACATCTGCCTTTGACACCTCTTTCACAAATGTGTTCATAAGTCCTCAAATTGACAGAAGCAAATGTAATGTAGCTCTGAGCACCGCGCCTTCATTAGTGTAACAGACACTTCTTTGGTTTTAATTAAACAGCACAAAACAGAAGAAACACAAAAGATACTTTTGTGACTTTTCAAACAAAAGCAATGCATGAAAACTGAAACTGCACCCATGGGAGCAGGAGGGGAAGCCCTTCCCTTCCATGTCACAGTGTGACTCCTTGTCTAAATTACCCCCAGCCCTCTGGCCTGTTGTCTGTTCTCTCTTCTTCTTCTTGTGATTCTGGAAATGGTTTCCATCCTCACGCCTTTTCCTCTAAGGCCCATGGTATTTTTAGATGCAGCTTTCACTTAGTACAGAGGGAAACTGCACGGGGCAAATATTCCAGATGTATGCACACTGCCGCATCAAAACAAAGCGCCGACATACACTGTGTTCGGATGTTGAACCATTCCAGATCATGCACACACCAACACCCTGGGAGAGTCTGCATGTTCTGTATTTCTTGGCAAAGTGACCTCAGTTCAACCTTCTTGTCCAGCGGCCCAAGCGTCCACCCTTCCATGTCAGGAAAATGGACAACAACAACATGTGTTTTCCCACAGCACAAAGACTCCAGAGAGATTTGGCTCAGGAAGGCTGTGGATTCAACAACTCCTGGAAAGGAAAGCAAACATGTTGCCTGTGTGCGCACTTGTACAAGAACTTTCACGAGGGACTGTACATGTATTGTTTGTAGTAAGTCTATCAGTGACATATTTATGCTTATGGAAATGCTTTTTCTGACAGCAGTTATTGTACGTGTCAAGGATGGATTATAATTTAAACATACGTCATAGACGATTTACCAACAACAGAAGTTAAATGTTCTGGTTCATTATTTCTCGCCTTAATACAGGGGTCTCAAATTCAATTAAGCTGGGGGACATTACTGCAAAGCTGTTTTATGATTTCTTAATTTAAAGATTTTTTTTACATACAGGATTTAGGTGAGTGCTGGTAAAACAATTTAACACTTTCTTTTCTGGGCCAGGGACATGACGGGACACAGGTATTCATATTCATTTTGGGCTGTAGCAAGTACCAAAATGTTTCTTAACATTAGAACAAAATTAGTCTTTCACTTAAGACGATTCAAAACAGTGCAAAGATTATTTTCTAACCTTTATAATAGATTTCTAAAAAGACCTGAAATGAACCAACACTGAGCCTGACTCAAGGACAGGCTCTTTTCAGGGACAATTATAGGAATTATTTCAAGTTGGTGGAACAAAATATTATGTGATGGGAACGTTTGTACGACACGCTCAAGACAAATCCTCAGGCTGAGCCATTTTATCTGGACAGCATCTCATCCACGCACATTCACTGTGCAACAAAAGCCGTGAAGGAAGGAAAATACAGACATGGAAATATCTGCTCATAAACTCAATTTATTGCCTCTTCTGTCACTTACTGTATTGCCAGACATTTTGTCTTCCTCTGAGAAAGAGCAGAGCACTTTTTGAGGCTGGGTGGTATTATCGCCTTTTTCCTCTCAGCTCCTCTTCTGGAGCTGCTGAAAAGTTTCTTTATAGTCACACATACTTAAAAGCAAAGCTTTCTGCAGATGTATTCTGCCTTCGACACTGTCCATCAACAACTTGGTCACCAGAGTTATGGTTAGGGCAGGTTCAAGTTCCCTTGTATGTGGGGTTCATTTTTTGCGCTTAAATGAGCGACAAAAGTTGCCATTTGCTCACTGAATTATTTTACTACTCATTTTCTCCATACTGTATGTCACTGCTCCAGTGACATACAGTATCCACAACACATAACACTGCTGCTCAGGGACACCAAGTACTGTCAGTAGGGAAAAAACAACGTTTGGTTCAACACAGACCGTGTGGAACAGCCCTACACCCTACATAATGCACTACATAGAGGGCACATCATTTTGTACTGGTGCCCAAATGTTTAGAAAGTAGAAGTTGTGGTGAAACACAGTTTACCTGTGATTCTCGCACAGAAGTGACTAAAGTGAAGGCTGCCACTGATTGCCCACTTCAATACTTATATTGTACAGTTAAACACTGTTTGATGAGTCATGTGACTCAGCATCATCATCACCCAATTTGAAAGTATTGAATGACACAGTCAACATCTCATTAATTCTATTTGTAACTGAACATACATAATTTAATTCTATATTTAATGAAGTGTACTTTTTAAAAATAATATATCGCACAAATTTGAGATATTTAACAAATACACAATTTTAAATGTACAATGCAAGTTTAGTACTCTGAGTAAAAAGGAGGTATATAAATTACACCATTCACTGAACAACTGTAAAGTCGTCCAAAACACAACATCACAACTTTTGTAAGAATTTTCCCCAATACCTGAATTTACACCTGGATTTTTCAGTGGGTCCGGCCCTGGAAATGTTGGTCCGTGTTAGCTGCCTGGCTACATTCAGCTGAACTCTGATGTAGGAGATAACGTCCTGCCTCTGTTTCATACCACAAACACATTGAAAAGCAAAATGTTACTTGTACTGTATCAACATCAGATTGGCAACAATTATATGATACTCTGTGGTAAACTGTCAATTCGTGTCGAAAACCGCGAAACACAAAACGGACGCTAACGTTACCGCAACAGTGAAGAGCTGTTTATGTTTATCCAGAAGGAGAAGTAACTGTATGACAGTAAAACTCACCTGCAGTGACAGGATCTTATCGTATTCCAACAGGAAGAAGAGGTACAGTATGCTGTGACTGCTTGTACATTAACAATATTTACACAATTCCTACACTGGTTGGAACTTGTTCATGTTGTGAAGCACTTGTAAGTATATTTTCAACATATGCAGAGCGAAAAAGCAAAACTCCAAAAACTATCAGAATTCCTCTTTGATCCCAGTCAGCAAAGATCTACCTCGGCTCACTGTAGATAATGACGATCCCATTCTCAGTCTGCTTCCAAGTTGCTGCTCAAAACTACACATCAAATGCGATGAATCACTTCACACCCGCAGTTTTTCCAGCACTACTGGCAAACACGTAGACTGTCATAGCAACTGAAGTACGCAATATTACGACCCATGGGTCAACAACCAGGCCGGGCCTCAGGAGCATTTATATACTTTTATATCAGCAAACTTGTTGGGATCCCCGCTGTGCCTTTGATACAAGCTGCTACAAACAACAAGACAAGACACAAGACACAAGAGGACAAGTGAACGATCAAAGACACACAGCTAATTGAAGTGGTTTTAAATGTACATTTAATCTCATAATGAGGTGATTAACTCTCCACACAACCCTGCAGTCATAGGCCCTGCTCTCGGCTCCTGTTCTGTCTAATTTCTGCTCGCTGCAACTTCTCCTGCACATTTTGGTGAGTGTAGCTCCTGAATACACAGGCAGCCATCAGCTCACCTCTCCATTGATTAGTCGCCATAACAACGTCACCATGGTAATCATCATGTATCGGCTGTGCTTCTATTTATGCAAAGATGTCAGCTGATATATATATATATATATATATATATATATATATATAAAAAAATTTGCGCTCTCTGTTGACACACTCAACAGATCAGATGCAGGATATCTCATTTAATTTCACTGGGAGAACAGAACATGTGATATTTTTTAATTTTTACTTCCGAAAATTCAGCCAAACTTAAAAAATTGCCTGTCAGCAACAGTTCGACTCGAGACTTTCCAATTTCAACATTATATTTTGCAAGAAGGAAACTGTACTATGGCTTTACTATTACACAGAAACTGTATGGTGAAAGGTTCACAGCGTATTTGGATTGAGTAAGTACAGTGTTTGTAGATTATGACATGCAGGAGGAACCAGGGATGGGATGACCAAACCTTGAATCGCTACCAAAAATTAGACAAGCCTTAAGGGGAAAATCCCCATTGACTATTCAATTATCTGTAAAATATTCAAGATGTAGAAGCTTCTAAGGCTCCTAGAGCCTTTTGCCATAATGTTTGTCTGTATAATGCAAGACAATGTAGAGTTATAGATTACCTTTCAAAATTAAAAAAGTGACAGAAACTAATTGCCCAAACATATTTACCAGATGCAAAGAAAGTAAATTTCCTATGTTGCATTGCATTTCTTAACAGTTTGCTCTACCACAAACCCACAGCTGCAGATACCTCCCCTCCCCATATTTTAAACCCTAATGTGAACTGACAAGTGAATATGTGAGAAATGTTTTGGTCTTGGGAGGTTAAGTTACACAGAGAAGGCAAATAAAAAACGATAAGCAAGGATGTAGGGAGATAACACTGTGACTGCAATAGGACATTTGCGTTATCGTGTTTTAATGATCACGTGACTTTGTGGTATAAACACTGAAAGACCCTACAAACAAACAGGGAGAGTGTCAGGGAAGGAGGGAGAGGTGAACAGCAGACTAACCACAAAGTCAGAAACCTGGATGGAGAAGGTGGATGTAAAGAAAGCAGAAGTGACATTTTTCATTAGACTTAGAAATTTGCCAGGGGTTAAAGGTGACATTCGTACAAAGGTCAATTATTATTGATTCTGTGTGGGCGGTGTCACGTAATCACTGCTGTCAGGCGTAGGAGAGGAAAAAAAATACCTCAAAGTAATGGATTTAAATCAATGCTAGATGTAAACATTTCATTAACATTGTTTCAAATTATTATTACATCAGAGTGATCGTGTTTTGCATTTGTGTAATTATGGTCAATCCTTACTTTAGATTTTAGTGGTTCCCAAAATAGCCCTCCAGGTCCTCTTAGGGGCCACAGAGCTGTTGCTACATTAGGAAAATTGCACAAATTTGACTTCTTTTCTTCAATGAAAATAGCAGTTTTGTAGGAAGCGCAATTTAACTGGAGATTTGAAGCCACAGCTCTGATGTGCCGCAAAGGGTTTGGGAACCAAGGCGTGATGTGCCAGCACGGCGGAGTGCCGCAAAGGGTTTGGGAACCAAGGCTTTAGATACACTTTTCTTAACAGGCTACACATGTCTTTTACATACAGGAGTTATGACAACCACCTGTAGGTCCTAAATCCACTTTTTTCCACCTACTTCGACCTTTATCTTCGTGGTCGTCTGGCTTCTTTCAGTCCTCCTGCCGAAGAGCTCATTAATGTGTTTTTGCAAACATAACCTTCACCTGGAGGCACAGGACAGATGGAGATTAACAGGCTTCATTGAACATCCTTTCAACCTGTGCAGCCTCCTCTGCTCGTGTGGATTATTACTCCAGATGCTAATACTTAGGTGGTTAAAATATCCTCAGTGCCCAGTGCAGAGTCTTCCTCGTTAGATTTTCATTTGAAAAACTTAAAACCAAGTAAAGGTGGTTATATTGCTGCAGAAAAAAACATTTCCACAAGGGAGTTTTTCAAAGGATAAAACGCAAACCAAAAGAGTAATGTCTTTTTGAGCAAATTGTTTTTGGGTTTTTTTTCATAGATAATAGTAGACAGGAGTCATGTTCGGTCCATCTCACATCTTCATTTGCTCCAGGGATACAAAACATGATGCAACAAGAAAGTACTCGGCTACACCTCATAATCCTACTGTGCTTTACTGCACAAGGAAGGAGGTTTATTCATGGGATTTTCAAAGACTTTGTGCAGACCAATCAACAATATTTATTTTTTATCCACCAGGATTTATGGCTTCTTATTATAACCAACAGTACCAGCACTGATAGTCCTGATACTTGTACTATGAATATATTGTAGGGCAAGAATACAAATATAATACTACACCATAATAAAGCTTTAAAAGTAAAAAAACAAAACCCTGTCTTGTCATGTCCCAGGGTCAGTTTGCTGCACAGAACATATTAGTTATATACCATTGCAATAAATCTGGTTAAACTCTTATTTATTATTAATTTTAGAAATGTATTATGATACATATATTAAATTCTGTTTATTTGTTCAGCCCTTGTTTCAGTGCTGACCAGGATATCTTTGATTCTCAGCGTCACCTTTTTTTTTTAAAACTATGACCACAAACTGACCACCACTGACTGGGAGCCTCTGAATTAATGTACTATTTGTGTGAGAAAATAGAAATAAATGTACTCTTTTTTCATGAGCTCTGGAGGGCAGAGCAGAGGTCGTCTCCATGGTAAGATTACTATGGCAACACATGACCTCAGTTCATGTTTATCACCAGGAGCACAAGAAAAAAAGTAGATACTATGCTTTGAGAGTCAGCACTGCCCTCTTCAGGCCGACAACGACTGTGACTATTAAATTAATGTTTAAGAATAATAATTATTAAAATTACAAAAAAAATTGTTAGTTTAGATTTTGGTTCATAATGAGGTTTTTGTGCTAAGGTATTTGTGATGATGAACATCTTGCATATTGATGTCACACAGCCCTCTGATAGCACAACAATGGCAGCCTGCGCACTGTGTTCATATCACTAATAAACCATAGCACTCCAGGAATAATTCCATAGACTTTTAGGTTGACTTCTTAGGAGTTAAGTGGTTTAAAAAAAAAAAAGGTCCAACTCTGATGAGGTCAGATACTCAGTACTTGACATACCCCCGATCTGCCTCAAATTGACTCTGAATTCATTTCTAATTACCAGCGGATTAGTTAACATAAATAATTTATTTATACGTAATCCCTGCGGATTCTTCTGTAAAAGCAAAAAAAAAAAAAAACCTAAGAGAATCAATTGTATGACAAAATGAAGAGAAGCCCCAGACAGCCAACCCAAGAAATACAGTGTAGTCAAAAAAAAAAAGTTTGTCTCTCTTTTCAGTTGTGCACCGCACAGCCTTCATATTGAAGGTGGCTGGTACTTTGACTCCTCGAGTGTCAAACAGGTACCTCATCTTCAGCCAGTGTGTGGGTAAACGACTTCATGTTCAACAGTCAAAGAGGATGTGGCTTCATCCTGGACACCACAGATGAGCAGGGGGAGACGGTCTGTTAGGAACTCTTGCAGCAGCTTCTGCGCTCCTCCTGCGCCTCACTGGTGGGACCGATGGAGTTGGATAGAGTTACAGCGCTGATGGAGCCACGGGTCACCTCCCTGCTGGCCACCTTCTTATGGATGGCTGCAGGAATCACATAAACACCACAGGGTATTCCCAGGAAAACACAATGTATTTATATTTTTAAGAGAGAGTTACTCAACCACATACCAGTCAGGACTTCATTGAAGGCAACCTCCACATTGGTGGAATCCAGCGCTGATGTTTCCATAAACATTAGGCCTCTTTTCTCTTGAGTACAACAGCAAACAAAGCAAAGATTAAAAAGCCATGGCCTAAACCTCAGGTCAAGCTTAACAGCGGTGTAAACCTTGACACTTTGAATATGGAAATAAGCGAAATACCAGGTAACTGACCTGCAAAGTCCTTGGCTTCCTCTGTGGGCACAGTCCTGACAGATTCCAGGTCGCTCTTATTTCCCACCAACATGACCACAATATGAGGGTCTGCATGTTCGTACAGCTCCTTCAGCCAGCGCTCTGCACTCTCGTAGGTCAAGTGTTTACTGATGTCATACACCAACAAGGCCCCAACAGCTCCTCTGTAATACCTGGGAAGAGTAAGGAATAGATACTAAATCAGATGGAAGTGTTTCATATGATGTACTGACAAATATTCAGGAGTGAGGTCTGCAAAAAATATCAATAGTTTCAAATCAAAGGGACAAATGCTAATCTGCTGCTGCCCTCGTTTGTTAATTTGTTTTATGATCCTAAATAACTGATATTTTCTGTAAATTTCGAATGAATAAGATGGAAAAGTGCAACACTGGTCAAATAAACTGGGAAATAAATACCCTGGTCTGAGTGTCCTCTCTCATGAGGAGCTGGAGATTTTCAACAGGAGACAGATCTGGACTGCAGGCAGGATGCTCAATCACTTTTTCTGTCTACAGAGCCAGGCTTTTGCCGACTTTTCAGTCCTCAAAACCTCAATACCAGACTACTGATGCACCTTATTATTATCACCGACACTGACTTTTGCATCTCAGATTAGGAACACTCATTTGGTCATTTTAAAGACCATAAAACCCCAAATGTCAACATCCTTTCATCTGTCAGCTGTAAAGGGTCCTGGGTTTCTAAATCTCAGAAAACTCTTCTAAGAAGTTCAGCACATAGTGGTGAGCCTCTGGGGATGCTCCTTTCCTCCTTCATTCCTAGGACCAGATAACCTGCTGCATGAGGAATGTTACTTTTACCACCCTTACAGTCTTACCTCGCCTTTTTCTGTGTGTGTGGCACAGATCTAAAGTTGTGTGCCTTCACATTAACTATTTGACTCAGTATTACCTGTGCCCCTGTCACAATTCAGAAAATATTCATACCTTTGTGGAAAAACACTGAACAGCCCTTTACCACTTGAACCTGGTATTGTGAAACTGTATTGTTTGTGTGAAATAGGAGCAAACTGAAATCCTCCCAGTTACTCAATCTGCCACTGTGTGGCAACTCTGTTACTCATGTATGTGTGTCTGTGGGTGTACCCACGCTGAGGTGATAGCCCTGTAGCGCTCCAGCCCTGCTGTGTCCCAGATTTGGGCTTTGATGATGAAGTTGTCCAGCTGAACCGTCCGTGTGCTGAACTCCACTCCGATGGTGGTGCGACTGTCGTGGTTGAACTCATTTTTAGTGAAGCGGGAGAGAAGGTTGCTTTTTCCTACACCCGACTCTCCTATTAGAACCACTTAACAGAGACACACACAGGGGAAGAAGAATTATTTAAAAAAATAATTGTTTACATGTCAACATTTCAAGTTTCCTTGATGAAGCAGTCTGAATTCTGTCACAGTCACAAACCACCTGAAACTATGACATCACGACAACGTGGCTGACATTACACTGGAATGAATGGAATGGAATAGAATTCAGTCAAGAAAACGAAGAATGGAGCAAACTGAGCTGGGGAGACGGAACATATGAGAAAAGTTTCCACAACAGGTTAAAGGTCTAATAGTTTATGATCAAAACAGACAGATAGCTCCCACTTCCTTGTTTCCCTCCTTCAGTCTCTCCTGCGGAAGTGACAGAGAGCAGCTACGACCTGTTCATTGACAGCTTTCACCTCCTCAGATTTGCAGTGCACACAGCTTCATCTCTTCACATTCAATCACAGCCTGTCCAAACACGACTCACCTTTAAACACAAAATTGTACGAGTCATCAGACCCCATTCTACAGGCAGTGACGACAGACTCCTGAGTGAATAAAAACTCCAAAGATTGAAAGAAAAAATAACGAAAAAAACCCAGAAATTAAATCCACAGGAGACCTTTCACTCTGGTAAAAAAACCCCAAACAAACCAGAAATAAAATCCACAGGAGACCTTTCACTCTGGTGAACAAGATAAATCAGAAATACAGGAAGAAAAAAAAAAGGGAACGGACTTGGCTGTATCCACTCACTTCCTCATACATGAGTGGATAGCATTTAGGTCCTGATTAAGGACAGGTAGGTAGGCTGACAGGAGTCCTGCCGACCAACCGATCCTTCATCAGCTGACATGAGAGGCTGGGCGGGCAGAGGGAGAGAGCAAGAGCAAAGAGAGAGAGAGAGAACAGAGCAGGTGGAACAGGTAGAACCACACACAGGTAATCATCAGGAGCAGACTCCACCCTCTCCTACGCTTGGTTTTCAACCAAAACACACCTTTCATTTGTGTGACAATAAAACCCACCCTGCAGCTGAATTCATCTGTGCCATTGTAGCCATTGTCTGCCTCCTGCAGGTATGAGCTGCCGTTCATGCCTCACCCTGATTACACTCTTCTACTGTTTGAAGTTAACTACGGAGAACATAAGAATCAGTCACACAGTGACACAGACTACACACTGGGAGTGAGGGTTGATGGGATAATGCTGGTAGTTTTCACAGCAGAATGCCACCTTAGGGCTGTACCTGTCGCTCAAACCACATTGAGCCACAGTACAGCCCTTTACTATTCACTAGATCATTAGCTAACACTTTAAATTACAGGTTTTTAATAACATCATTACTGAATCTGGAACAAATTAATTTGACGACTCTGCCGAGGGAACAGGTACCTGCCTGGTAAAAGCTTTTGTCCTGAAGGAACTACATTCACTGGGCATTTTGGACAAACTCCACTAATGACAATGGAAACCTTTTTAAAGCAGCGGTTCCACAGTGAGTGGACAGGCCCCCTTGAGGTGCACAGAGTTATTGCATGTGGCAGATGAAATACATTTTTAGTATTTTCTATAGTATTTTAAATTCTACCTCTGTAGGAAAGACTAGAATTCCCAAAAAGCTCCAACACAGTGTGGGTAATTTCAAGATAAACAATAATAATAAAAAAAAACAACCTTAGATTTTTTTTAACACTGCAAATAAAAACAAAATAATTTTATGGAACTCAAAAACAGAAAGGTCAAACTTGCTAAAAAGTTGTTAATAACTACTGATCAAACGATAGCATAAATAAATTATTTTGTATTTAATGTTGCTCTAAACTTTAGAATTTTAAGTCAAACCTGAGGTTTGCCTTTGCTGACATTCACAAGGCAAAAATACTTAGTGCAATCAAAAATAAGGTCACAGATCCACGTCACACCACGAACCTAGCAAAGGAGAAAAGAAAATTATTAAGAGATGGCATGGTCAAGACATGATTGAGTGACTGAGTTCAGTGTGCAACAGTATTATTTAAAAAGGCCACTCATGTTTTAGAAAAACCCTTTAAACCACACTTAGTAATAACAACATATCCTTCAGCAATTGACAAAAGAAAGGGAGAAACATTTGATGCAATGAACACATGAAGCTTTGCTGCATCCAAACCCGGGAATCTGTAAGTATGAGAGGAATAATGAAGAAAAAAAATTTGTTGCAAAGAAATATGCTTTCTTATATAGAGTAGTATTAAGAAAGTTTCTAAATGTTTTTAAATGTCGTGGTTAATATTCCATTAAATATTAGAGGATGCTTCAATGGTTCTATTGGGTGCAACTAATCATATACTGTATGTTATAATATAGAAAACAGTGACGCAGCTAAAGTCAACCAGCGGAACATAAAGTTTGTTCCCCAAAGATCACTTGCTGTTTTATACCACAACATTCCACATCCAATAACAACCAGAATATTACAATTAAAAAACAAATGTTTGATTTCCCACCCTCCCTTTAAGACTTTAATCAACCAGATCAGGCTGTGAGGTGTTTTTTGACCAGGTTTTATTATTTAGTACAGTACTGTTAAAAGTTAGTTCAACATGTTCAATTGGGAGATGTTTTGTTGTTTTTATTTTAGCTGAGGTCAACAGACGAAGCAAAGCTATCAGAGCAGTTGCCAAGGTTACAACAACTACAACGCTGGAAATTTTCAAAAGGAAAAAAAAAAAAGCGTACGACAACCTAGAACTTGATTTTAGAAACGTATGGACCACCATACGAGAAAGCCTTTATTATCATTTATTCATTCTTTAAATTCTTTAAATGTATTTAATCCTGACAGATTGAGATTATCTTGGTACTGACTGCACCTCATGGGAAAAAATGTATAGTATCAGATTAAAATGAAAGAAACGAGTTTTTCCCCCATCAATCCCTATTCTAGCAGTGTCCTTTGCTTTGGAGCTGCTGTAATGTTGGTGTTTTAAAGTACAGTTCTGGATGATGCTGTGTGGATTTTAACTATGGTTTATTGAGTGAACACACCGACTGAGGGTGTGGGGTGAGGGACAGAGGGCGAAAGTGTTCACCCAGAGAGTGGGTGCTGTTTTACGGAATAACATTTAACTAGTGGGGAAAACAGGAAAGCCTCACTTTCAGAAGCGCTTGCAATAAATAGGGAAAATGCCTGGGTTTTAACACCTAGTTATGTAAAAGCAAAACAATTAGGAAGTACGGCTTGACAACCTGGACAAGACTCCTGTTCATTCCCTCTCTGTACCCCCAGAGGTTCTTCATGTGTCGTATATCCCGCTAACTACCTGTCACACAGTGGCCAAGTGTGAAACAGAGCCAACCGCCAATCACGTCCTATAAGGTGTAATAAGGTGTGTGTAGACGTCTTTCTGTGATACTGCGCTCTACTAGGATGCCATGAAAACAACGCATCAAGGAATCATGGGAATTCCACGTAGGCAGAAAGTTTGGCTTTGTTTCTCTTCACCAGGACACAACTGAAGGTGAAAGAGGTTCAAACTGGCTCTACAGCAGCAGCACTCTGGAACACAACAGAGATTAAGGTGAATGAAGACAGAAAAGAGAAAGTACAAGGACGAGGGAATGATTTAAGAACAAATGAAAATCAGGGGGTGGGGGCATTACAGTTCCGGTCTGAGTTTTTTCTTCAAAGATTGGGAAAATACACTTAGATTTCTCTTGGTTTTCTGAAGACGCTGTGGGTTTTTGTGTGTGTGTGTGGCTAAGGTGTGTGTCTGTATGCTTGTATTGTGTTGGTGCGTCAGTGAGCGCTGTATGTCTTTACGAGGGCTGTGAACCCAACAGTCTCTCTATAGCGGCGTTGATGTCTCCTCCAGTAGCGATGAGGGCCTGCAGGTTGGCCTCACGGTTAATGAAGCCCATGGCGTTGAGCTGGTCCAGCTGAGACCGGAACAGCACCTCAGGGGTCTGGGTCTACAGGTGAAAAAATAAAAATAAATAAGATACATACAAAAATAGGGCTGTCAAACAACTACATTTTCAATCTGACTAATCACAGCTTGGCTGTGGACTGGTTACAATTAATTGAGATAAATGAACTTTACAAACATGGCAACAAAAAAGAAAATACATTAGCATGTTGCCACAACAGAAAGACAAGGCTGAGGTAATTACATGTGTTACACTCCTTTATTTGAATCTAACACTCTATAGAAATGTCTAGAATATTTTTAATGTCAAATGAAATTTATCTTCATAGAATTCTAACGCAAGAATATCCAAAGGACCGAACCTGTTACCTCAACAACCTCTCAGTATGTTACTGTATGACCTTGGAGTTTCACTTTGCCTATTCCTCCTGTTCCTGTAAAAACACTTAATATATTTTCTTTGTGCTTAAAATGTGTTGCATTTTTTAGGAAGTGTAGCAGCTATTGAGGAAACTGAGTTGTTTACAAAACACAAATGTATGAAGATATTCAGTTTATGTGCATGTATGTACCGTTGCACTTCCTCCTCCAGCAAACATCTGGAGCATCTGTTGCATCAGCTGTTGCTGGGCGTTGTTTGTTCCCGCACTGCTGGGAGAGGTGGCTGGGTTCTCTGTGGGCAGGGACCCTCCTGTAGGCATGGGTCCTGCTGTGGGCATGACCCCTGCAGTGGGCATGCCTCCGGCAGTGGGCATGCCTCCTGCAGTGGGCATGCCTCCTGCAGTGGGAATGCCTCCTGCAGTGGGAATGCCTCCTGCAGTGGGCATGCCTCCGGCAGTGGGCATGCCTCCTGCAGTGGGAATGCCTCCTGCAGTGGGAATGCCTCCTGCAGTGGGAATGCCTCCTGCAGTGGGCATGCCTCCTGCAGTGGGCATGCCTCCGGCAGTGGGCATGCCTCCGGCAGTGGGCATGCCTCCTGCAGTTGGCATTCCTCCTGCAGTGGGCATGCCTCCTGCAGTTGGCATTCCTCCTGCAGTGGGCATGCCTCCGGCAGTGGGCATGCCTCCGGCAGTGGGCATGCCTCCGGCAGTGGGCATGCCTCCGGCAGTGGGCATGCCTCCGGCAGTGGGCATGCCTCCGGCAGTGGGCATGCCTCCTGCAGTGGGAATGCCTCCTGCAGTGGGCATGCCTCCTGCAGTGGGAATGCCTCCTGCAGTGGGAATGCCTCCTGCAGTGGGAATGCCTCCTGCAGTGGGAATGCCTCCTGCAGTGGGCATGCCTCCGGCAGTGGGCATGCCTCCGGCAGTGGGCATGCCTCCTGCAGTTGGCATTCCTCCTGCAGTGGGCATGCCTCCGGCAGTGGGCATGCCTCCTGCAGTGGGCATGCCTCCTGCAGTTGGCATTCCTCCTGCAGTGGGCATTGGGCATGCCGGGAATACCACCTGTCATCAAACTAGGTCAAAAGAAAAAAACAACAAAAATAAGACCTTTTTAAAAAAGTATGAAACAATGTAGAAATTTAATTTATATGTATTTGTGCATCACCTCGGCATGAGGCCTGGAGCTTCTGTCTGCAGCAACTGTAGGCCCTGTTGGATCTGCATGAGAGCCTGCATGGCTCTGGGGTTGGTCATCACAGACAGAGCTTCAGGGTTCTGCATCTGCAGCCAAACCAGAAGAGCAAAGATGAGTCCAATTACTGAACAGGTTGTGGTTTACTCATTGAACCTTCAATTAGCTGAAAAATGTCATGCATAATTAATACAATGTGTCAAATGTCTGGCACTTTGACCTGTGATTTAAAAGTACTTTGTAAAAGTACGTGTGGTTCTGTACACACTTTCTGAGCTCCTGTGGTCTGTTTGTTTTTTTGTTGTTTTTCATGTTCATTATCATACAGAGGTGTAGATACGTAGTACAGTGTGCAGTACCTGCTGAAGAAAGATTGGCAGCTGAGATCTAAACTGTTCCTGCAGCTGTGGGTTTCCAGCAAACAAGGGGTTATTCATAAGAACCTGGGACAAAGGAAGAAAAGTCAACTTAAAAAAAATAAATAAACAAACAAACAATTCCGACCTGATACATTTTCTAATTAGGAGATACCTTAAACGCAATCGTAATTTATTACAAGCTCAAGAGCATAACATAATCAATTACTTTGGTATGCGAAGCATTATCTTTGTGATACACCGTTTCTAATGCAATTAGATTGTACCTGTGTGGTTTAGTCATCTTTCCACTTCTTACCTGGGAGGCCAACTCTGGGTTTTGGGACAGTGATTGCATCATACTGCGCATGTAGGGAGCAGAAAGCATGTTCTGCATCAGCTGAGGGTTTTCAGAAATCTGCTGCATTAGACTCTGCATTCCCGGGCTGTTGAACATGCCTGAAAGACGTACAAAATGTCAGCCAATATATTTGTATGGACATATGTCTCTACTTAAAGTAACTACACTTGCTAGTTCACAATAAATGAGCATGGTCTGTATACTATACAATGACAGTGTGCTCTCTTGTACCATTGCCCAGACTTCCTGCACTGATGCCCAGAGGGTTGGACACAGTAGGATTGGTGCCACCTGTGGTGCTGTTGCTCCCACTTCCTGGGGTGCTGCCTCCATTCTCAGGGGGGTTAGAAGAATTTGGTGGGGCCCATGGATTTGGCAGAGGCTCACGGTTCTCTGTTCGAGATGGCTGGGCACCAGACTCAGAGCCACCACCGAGAGCCGAGAATGGGTTGTTACCAAACTGCATGGAAAGATAACACAAAGCACTAGTAAATCTAAAGAGGCCATTATATATGTTCTGCATTATAAAATACCCTGACACACAGTGAGTGTATTGCAATAAACAAACAATGTATAAAGTTTACCTGTTCCCTAGCAGCGCTAAACATAGGTTCCTGAATATCTGTGTACATCCTCCGCAGGGCATTGTAACCTCCTGGGATGCTCTCCAAGTTGCTCAGAGCACGGTCCTGGTTTCGCATCATTTCCTGCATCATGGCTGGGTTCCTGGCTAGCTCCATAGTCTGGCAGGCAACAACAACAACAACAAAAAACAAGCTACTTATTTGTGTTTTTGAGGGCAAGCCATCAAATAAATATGCTCGAATACAGAGGGGGATCTAAAAGAATGTCATGGTACACTCAGTGTACCTGTCTCATTAGCTCTGGGTTATTGAGCATGTGAGAGATCTCTGGGTTGCGTTCCATCAGCTGCTGCATCTGAGGATTGGCCATGATCATCTGCCTCATTAGGTCAGGGTTGGACATCATGTTCTGCACCAGCGGGTTCTCCATGATCTGAGAAAGCATCTCTGGGTTGGACATGAGCTGCCTCTGCATCTGCTGCTGCAGTTCCATGAAGTTGCCCGAGCTCATTCCCAGTCCTGCCATATTTGCCAGGTCACCAAAGCCAGCTGATAAAAACAAAACATAGGTGAAAACTTTTAGACACTGTACAAAAGTACCTTGGATGTGGAACAGTCACATAAACGTATACTCACATAGGACATTGGGTGTCTGTGTTGATTGTGGGGCTGAGCCAGAAGAACCTACTGTGGTAGAAGGGTTGGCTGCTGGACTAGAGGTGGAGGAACTGCCTGTTTGAGTGGGATTTGAACTGGAGGCTGTGGTGCTGCTGCTGCTGCCTTCACCAGCTCTATAGAGTCAGGAAAAGTTCAGCAGATATACAGGTTGATATTTCTTCAGGGCACTGGCTTCAATATTTTAAAGGAAACTTTAACACATATTACTAAAGGGACAATATTTGTCTGGGATTGTTCTATTTTTGCAATTAAAACAATGCAAGATAACAAATGCACTTTCAAAAAGGAATATAAACCTCTTGTTGTAAGCATTTATATCATTTTTTGTCTTACTTGTGTGCCGTCTTTATGACGAGGTGAACTGTCAGGCCATCCTTGATACCGTGTTGGCTGAGACTGTCGCCATCCTTCAAAATCTTCCCTGCGAAAATGAGAACCAACTGGTCCTGTTTGGCTTTAAACCGCTTTGAGATCTCTTCCTTAAACTGCAGAAGACAAATTTAACAACTGGTTTACACAGAAACAAAGGATGGCTGTGCTTCAGTAGTGAATGGGAATAGTCTAATTTGTTTTTGTTCAGTTTCAACTCAAATTATTATTATTTGTGAGGCCTTCAGAACATTTAACTGCTGTGTCAACAATGACTCTAAAGTCCAAGATCTAACCCCTCAGGAGCCCCACGGTATATTTTCAACTTTGTCAATGCATTTAACCCATTACAAAAACTATTTAGATACACCTTGGAAAAAAACATGATGCAACAAATAGTTATATAGAAGCAGAGGTCATTTGATTGCACTGTGTTTAGGATCAGGTAAAAGATTATGTCTGCCACAAGCTTCTGCTGGGAATATGGTAATAAGTTACACAATAAGTTTATGCATTACCACACAGCAAAATAGTTACTAAAAAGAACCAAAAAATCACTGCAAATAGTTTTATATTTTATATTGTTGTTTTAAATGCAGCCAATACGTTTTCATTGGGCACATACTGATTAAATCTAAAACTGATTAGATATGGATCTAAAATTTAGTTTAGCTTTGAAGTTGTGAATTTTTATCAAATGTTGAAAGTTTAGTTTTTGAATACATACTGAAATGTGTTGTTTATTAAATAATTGTCAACCTTAGGTAGATTTAAATGTTCTAGAGGAAGGTTTAATATTCGTTTCTTTATTACGTTATTGTTTGTTTCTCTTCAATGCTAATGTTTCACTCACTTATCGAGATGAAACTCCAACTTTAAACAGTTGGTTTCCACATAGATGTAATAATAATTGGTGTTGTGGCCTAAGAAATAGTACATTTGCTCATAAACAAAAATTAAGTACTTCGCTTGATAAAACAAAAAATTATATAGACCCTCATTAAATTTACATCGATGTGATCAAAGATTAACATCCAATATCATTACACATAATCTGCTAATGGTATTATGACGAATATATGACAACAAATGAAAAATGGCTCAGTTCACATGCTAGTTATAAATGCGTGGCCTAATGAGCAACAAAAACATATGATTCAATACAGGCTTCTAGTTTCATTGTTATATTAGTGTAGACCGTCTCTTGGCAAAGAGCAGCACTGAGAATGCTGAGAATTCCCAAGAAAGCTAAATGACTCAGTGACAGCAGGAGAGAATGTTCTAGAGTGAAACTGAGCTTTGCTATCGAAAACGTGTTGAAATGACATGTTTCGTTGCGATATCTGACATTAAAAACCACCAACTACCCCCTCGGGCCTTATTGTGACATAAACTATGTAAAAAGACAGACAACAGCGTGTTAACTGACACTACATTGGCTTCACTGTGAACGAGCCTCATTAGCTGTTAGCAGGCTAGTCGCTAACCGGTTAGCCGTCACAGAAACAATAAAGTGTGTACAACCAACTCCCCTGACTATCGAACATAATAATAACTCGAAATACACCTTTATTTAATCTGTAAAACTATCATTACATACTACTTGCTTAATTTCCAACAGCCCCCGTTCACCGGTAAAAGTGACGCCATATGCTAGCGCGGCTAGCTAGCCTTGTAGCTGAAGTTGTGGGCAGGAGAATGACGTGAGAGCACGCAGCACTGAGCTCCCCCCCGTTTCATCTACAAACCTGGGTGACGGAGGCATCTTCTGCGATGGCGATCTCTTCCTTGTCTTTAGGGGTTTTTACTGTGACCTTAATGATAGTTCCTTCAGAGGCTTCGGTTTTACTATTGTTGTTATTCCCAGGATCTGCGGCGCCTTGGTCAGCCATCTTTACTCCACCAATGGAACAGCTCACGACTGGCGTCAGCTTCCGGGTCAAAAGAGGTCAGACCTGTTTCCAGAAGAAATCGAAGGAGTTCACGTTTGTCAGAGGAGATTCTCACTCGCTAACGTCACAGGGTCCATTGTTCCGAAACAATCTTTCACCCTTTGCTCCCAAGTCTCTAAGAGCTACATGTTGTTTCAAAGAAAAACATTTGTTATCAGTGGATATTACAGAATGTTTCTATAGCTCTAACTTCAGGGATAAAAGGACAATGTTGACTTCAAAAATTTAAATATGTCTATATTATTCTCCCCCACAAAACTGACGCTTTACATTGCTTATATATACAGACAGTGTGTGTGTGTGAGTGTGTGTGTATATATATGTATATATATATATATATATATATATATATACTGTATATAAACAGAGCAACACAGAGCAACACAAATTAAAAAAATTTAAAGCAAAAATGTTTTTATGAAAACATGCCTGAAGGTCAAAAGATTTAAAATACAAAGAAAGATGGATCAGGAATTAGTTGAAGAAAAATATAGAAACATGTATTTGAGTAAAATTAAAGAAACCTTTATGCATATTTTTTGTATATCTAAAGGTTTAGCTTAACCAGGAACATTTAGATTTTTATATCACATACAGATTATTCAGTTTAATGAAGAAGAATGAAAGAAAATATAACTATTTATATGTGTATATGTATATATATTCTTCTAATCTATTTTCTAATTTTTGGTCTAAAACCATCAGTGTCATCAGTATTCAGTAGCATTCTTGCTACACTGTTATGCTTTTAAATACCACATTTCTAACTTCTAACAGAGGACTGAAACATATCCGTGCATTTGTTCTAATTCATGAACCGGTGTAAATACACTGTTTACCTCCACTTCATATGAGTTAATGTATATTTAATCTTAATAATTATTCACCAAAGGAAAAGCAGGCCTGTATTTCTCTTAGGATAATATTTTTTGAAAGTCAGAGCTACTCCTATAGAGTGCCCCCTCCATAAATGACTGCTTTCCTGCTGCCACAGTGTGATGATGGTGCTCAAAGGAAAGTGTCTATTTCAGCACGTTGCATTGAGACAGACAGACAGTCCTGCATACCCATGCACATCCCCAGTTCCAGAACACACCATTTACCAACAAACAAAAATCCCTTAAAAAAAAAAGAAACAGACCACCACCCATTTCCAGGGGCACACACACACACACACACTGAGCAAGATCATGTGCACCGTGTGGCCCCAGGAACATCTCATTCAAGTGCACCTCACACAGTGACACAGTTGGTCACAAAGGATTTTGCTTTCATCGACAAAACACAAGTGAGGGGACAACATTTAGCTTGTAGTTTTGTCAGTGACTCTCTCTCTTTGCCACCAAGTGAGCAGCAGCTATCTCACTCTTCCCTTCCACCTGTCTGTATCCTCACCTCTGGAAGGTGGCCAGAAGAGACAGTGCATTTCACTAAACAAGGTAAGGGATCAAATTTAATGTTTATTTTGTAACATTTACCCCAACAAAATCCTGTCTGATTCTCCGTCACGACTGTAGTAAGAGTAGCTTTAACTGTAGTTGTGCTTTGCACCTGTTTAGCAGTTGGGGACATTTACAGATCAGAGGATTTGTTGACATGGTATCCTGACACGTTAACTACAAATTTAATATTCTTTAGAATTCAGGATTATTTTTTCACATATTTACCTCTTAACCTCTTGGTCCAATGTGTTTAAACAGAGCTCCATAGCAGTAATCAGACAACCCAGTTTTCATCACTAACTCTGCCTTTTCACCAGAATTAATTTGGTGTCAATTTAGCCAGTATTCACAATGGATGTATTTTTAATTACCCTTTTCAATTTGTTTAATTTGAAGTTCCAAACTTTTCAATTACTGTACACCTCTGCATGTACCTTTTCTCTTCCAGTAGCTCTGCCGTGGCACCGTTTTATCAGCTCAAGATGTACAGTTTCATGGGAGGGGGTCTGTTCTGTGCTATAGTGGGCAATATCCTGCTGGTGGTCTCCACTGCAACTGACTATTGGATGCAGTACAGGCTGTCTGGAAACTATGCCCACCAGGGTCTGTGGAGGTACTGCATGTCTAACAAGTGCTACATGCAGACTGACAGCATTGGTGAGTCGACTTTGGAGCAGAGAAAATTTAATGTAACCGTGTAGAAATGTCAGAACTAACAAGCAAGTCATTTATAATAACAGCGTTTTCTACTTCCTTCAATAATTCAACAAAACAATAAATTATTCAATTAAAAAGTCATTGTTTGAGTTGTTTGGGCCTGAGGTGAATTAGTCATGGCTGGTGTCACATGCATATTAAATAATAAGAATGACTAGATGTTCATTAAATCATTTTAAACATGACAATAGTAATCTTTTATTCCTGTTTTTCCAGCTTACTGGAATGCAACCAGGGCTTTCATGATCCTCTCAGGGATGTCGTGCTTTGCAGGCATCATTGCAGGCATCATGTCCTTTTCTCACTTCTCCTCCTTTGAGAGGTTCAACCGCTCCTTTGCTGCAGGAATCATGTTTTTTGTCTCTAGTGAGTTGTCTTCCTCTCTTAACAGTTTCACACGGTTTACGTTACCCATGGAGTATATAAAGTATTACTGGAATGATCATTCCTTTGTTCCCTCTCAGCTTTCTTTGTTCTGCTGGGTATGGCCATCTACACTGGAGTGACCATCAACTTCCTGGGAAAGCGCTTTGGTGACTGGCGCTTCTCCTGGTCATACATACTAGGCTGGGTGGCCATGCTTATGACCTTTTTTGCGGGTAAGAAAATACAAACGTAACCTAACAATCCAATTGGAATATTATATTATATTATATTATAAGTTTAAGTCCCATTAGCAAAGTATTTAGCGGGAAAAGTAGAACACATAACATGACCTCTGTCTGTTGCAGGTATTTTCTACATGTGCGCCTACAGGATGTGTGAATGCAGGAGAGGAAATGGCCCACGCTAGAGGGCGACAAGTGTCGACTTTAAATCGTCGAGCTACAACTCTACCGGAAACAGTCTGTGTCAGTTAAAGTTGGAGCATTGAAGTTAATTTGATAATCAGTGATTAATTTACGCAAATAAACTATCGAACTTTGTTACAAAAAGTAAGGTTTTCAACCTTCTATATTGCTGCAACTAGCAGATTCAATAAAGTTTTAAAACGTCGGAGTCATTTTGTCTCTTCAAACAGCCGTACTGAAATCTCAACACAAGATAGCAGCACTGAACCATATCACAAAAAGTACGAGAACAAAGCCTTTAAAAGATTGCAGGTATTGGAATAAACATTTAACATTGTTCTAAAGTCGTCTCGCTGGAGTACTTAGATTACAGATAACAGCGTTCCCTACAGGAAACGCGTCACATATGTTGTTCAGACTAATAATAATATATTACATTACATATCATATATCCCATTTCCGTTTCCCACAAGGCATTTCACTTACTGACAACAATACATCAAAGCTCTGGAGGACATACCTTTGTCGAGGGATTCTCCCTAAAGCCATGTGTTTTGGCCCTGCCTCAGAACATTTGAGGAGGGTTCCCCCAAATTCTCTGTGTTTTAATGAGGTTGTTGCTTGTGTGAAATTTCTACCTCAACTTCCTGGTTTTCCAAGTACACTAAATTATAGACATTATATGTAACAGATAGATACAAATATGTAGTTTGCACAATAAAGACATAGTAAGAACATGTTGACCAGTTGTGACATAGAAAATAAAGATATTAGACAGAGAGATGAATTACCTAGGAAATATTTCCCTTAATATTTAATTTGCTTGATTTATGTAATTTTCTCAATGGGTTTCACAGGTATTCATTTCATCCCCAACTTTTCTTCACATCTCAGTTTTGCATAATTTATGAAATTCAGGCTTACTACTGCTTATTATAGGATGAAATGTGTCACTGTGATCGAAATTCACTCTTCCCTATACACCTTCATCCTGGTATACTCATAATAACAGCACAATAAAGAGCCTTGTAAATAAATTGTGAATGAAGCAGCCATTTTTTACACTTTTTACACCCTGACAGCACCTCTGCTCTTTGATCAAGGCCTCTGTATTTTCCTATTTCCATGTTTTGTTGCAACCACAGCCTGGAAGAAAATAAAAACAGGCTTACATTATAGGATGAAATGTGTCACTGTGATTATGAACAAAAAGGTAGGAAACCCGTTATGTCCATGTGTGTGTGGATGTAGCACAGGACACAATAAGCCACATCAAGCAGAAGAGGACCTGAACAATTGTAGGTGGAGTCTCCTGCCAATGATTGTTCCATCTCCTCAGTCCTTAATAATTACTTCCTCCTTTTCCTTGGTATGTGTCCATTGCTGACCATCAGCTGAGCAGGAGCAGAGAAGTTGCTGCTGAAGTAATGAATGCTTTGGCTGCCTGGTGACACAGAAACAATGAAAGAAAGGTAAACAATCTCGGACCGATCCCTTGATCCAAGTTCCCATAATTAGCCCTGGTGCGGAGAGATAAGCTGTGTAATATTGTGTTGAATTCTTCAGGTTTTTCAATCATGCTTTCACTGAGACTGAACCTTGTTAGGCTTTTGAAAATGAACAAAATTTTAACATTTTAGACAGTAGCACAATAAACTACTGGTCAAGTTTAAGGTAAACTTTTATTGTTCTTTTATACTTTTGTTGTTGGATGCACAAATATATGAACAGAAAACAGAAGCATACTGTATGTTTCACCTGCTTCAAACATTTGTAATATAAATTGCACTGGAATATACTGGACTCAAACCAGGGAAAAAAGCTTTCTATTGTTATTTGATAAAGATGATACATTATACCCATTTTCTGCTCATTCAATCAGAAAAGGGGGTGAATATTAAGCATCACAGCATTTTTTTAAATCTTGGTTGATCAACCCTTGTCCAAAAAAGTTTATCTGAGCAAAGCATGGACTTACAGCTCAGCAGAGCGCCTGGACAGAAGAATGCAAGGTTAAGGTCATTTGCCCAGACGACCTCCACGCCTGCCCACAAACTGTTTTGCTTGAACCGCAGTCACAAACACAACACCTGGTAATTTTTCCACTGACTGAACCGTATGATCTATATGGCAATTTGCTGGGTTTCTCTCATTTCACAGACCTGTAATTTTTTTGACACTGTCCCTTTCAGGCAGATGTTACACAGGTGTTTAAGTAGGACAGCCTTACAGGCATGCAACGAAATGAATTCATGAACAACATTCATAGAGGATTGTGCTGATATACAAAACATATATAAATAAATATATATACACTTAAAGTACAAGTGTGCTTTCACTGAGGCAGAGGTATTGAGTTCACTGCTGGAGATTACGCTTACACAGCAGATCCTAAGAAAAACTTTCCTCATCCTGCCTGGCGACGGTTCCGTGAACACTGACTCCCATTGTGGTGATTACTGATCCCATGCACTTCTTAAAATCACACACCTTCTATTCCATTTAATGTATTTTCCACAGCAGGCAACTTTGTGGAAAATGTTTTTTAAAGCACCATACTGTACAACACTAGCACTTTCAGACAGACTTTATTGTGCTGCATAAGTAAATGCTAGAGTAGTATTGCATTAAGTGCAGACAATACATGAGACAGCAAAACATTTGCAAAAGAATAAAAGAATAGACATATATTTAGCATCTTTTTTATAAATAAAAATCTAGACATCAGTAAATAAGTGGTTTATCTTACATATGTGAATGGCCTAACTGTCCAGCGAACAGAGCTGGAACAAAAGCTGAAGGCAACCATGGGATTCTATGGAGTAGAGGTAAAACTGCTCCTGTAGTCATTGTGTTTTGAATTTGAATAAAAGGCACACGTTTTCAAAGGCAAACAAAGTTCTCAGATCTCTAGACTTCTAACTGTGGCCCTGATCATTTTTGTCCTAAGGTTCATAAATTGCCACCCGGCTCCTAACTAGAAAATATCAAGTACAAAAAGTAACTGTTGCTAAGTTAATTACCAACTAACTATTTAGTTAATTAACCAGCAGGAACAAAAGCTTGAAAATCTTGTTTCACATTGTTTTTGCTGTACTGTTTCTTTGTATTTTCATTGGTCATATGGTCCCTCTCTAAAGAATACAGCTGTAAAGAAGTGTACGGTTCCACACAATAGTTGGTGATCAGTACCATACTATCCAGATCAGTGGAGCGTCATCTCAATCTGTCCAGTTGGAATTAACTGACCAAGAAGTTTGTGTTAAAAGTGATTTAAATAAAAAAAAACCCAAAACAAAACACTAAATTACTATTGTGAAGAACTACATGTATTGCTGTTCCTGCAGAACAATGTTTTACAGATGTGTAGAATCAGATTTACACAAAACAATAATTTTGTGTGAGCACATTCAACTGACGGAGCAGCATCTTCGTACTGGATTTCTAGCACCTGCTGCAGGGAAATGAAGGAGAGCCTTGTAGTCTAGCAATATTCACTACGCAGCATGAGAAATATGCAACAACTACTGATCTATGTGAAGCCCCTCGAGCACATTGCACATTGTGTGTCCATGCAGGCATTTCTCTTTGCTTTTAAGTCGATCTTCTGATCCCTTCCTTGGAAAGGCACCGACTTCTGAGATCACAAGACCAGACAGAAAGAGATGAGCCTTTTTAAGTCAGACCTAACGGACATGTAGACGTAATGTAAGGCAAGTAGTAATAACACACCTGCCTACTTTAAAAGTAAAGATCTGGAAACAAAACTTCAGTCAAGACATCTGAGGTGTATGATCACATCAAATGTCCACCAGAACAGGCACACAATATTTTGTATGAATATATAAAACTGTAGGAGGAGCTAATCTGCAGGCTGTCAAATCGTTTTTCAGCATTCGTGAGACGCCACTTGTTCTCTATGAAACACAAACTACAGACAGATTTGGCAGCACTGTCCTCCAACATCAAACATGTAGCAATGAAAAATAAACCTATAAAGTATTACTGACAAAATAGCTCAACATTGTAACAGTGTACAGAGGAAAAAGAAAAACGCACTTTAAGACTTTAATACACAATATCATCTGTGTTGCAAACAACTCTCCTTTGTTTGTGGTCTCATGTTTATGTTATAGCCCACCCCCCAAAACCCAAACACTGTTTTTGAATATAATACATTACAACGAAGGTCAGAATTGGCAGTTTCTGTGGATAAAATATTTAAAAATACCTAATTTGGTAACTAAAGGTAAGTTATCTCAATATTAAGTCATATGTTTTCAGTCATTATCTGTGTGATATGTTTGGAATATTTAACCCACATTTGGGTTGTCTTCTAGTCCTTTCTTTTTTTTCACCTCATCTTTCTCGCCTCCAGCTACAAACTCCATCCTTTTATCTCTGACTAAATCAGACTGTGGCCATGACAGGTGAATGTAAGTGGGATCATGTATGTGGGATATGATCACGTTACTAGTGTGAGGTGGTTGTGTGTGAGTGTGTTGCTTTAAAAGGATTTGATGTCTCACATTTCTTCCTTTCGGTGCCTTTCTGTAACTCTGTCCATCTGGATTAAAGACTTAAGAGACAGAAAAGACCGAAGGTTCACATTAACACTTGAAACCATAAAAAAAAAAAAAAAAACTGACTGAGATTCTCCTTGCGCCATCAGCCAACGTGAGGTGACCATGTTTCATTACTGAGGATTCTGAGCAGAGTGGTCTTTGGGTGAGTCGATACCTGAGGTCTCTCATTTCAAGGCAACTTCATAAAGCGTTAGCTAAGGGTTTTCTATGTTTTGGCTTTATTTAAACATTGGGAAATGGGAGGTTACTCTTAAAAAGGGGAGACTCATGGGAGAGGAGGAGTTGCATTAATTCCCAGAGTGAGGAATGAAGAACAGGAGAACAATCTCCAGGCTTTACGGTTGTTTTGGTTGCTGCTGCGTTCAGCTCAGTACAAAAGGGGAAAGTCTTGAACGATGACGTTCTCATATTCTTGTTGAGTTTCTCCTCCAACAGCCATCTGAAAGTGGGGTAAAACAAAACTGTGTCTCTAAATATGTCGGCGACGATGGTGGTGGGGATGTTTGTGCATGTCCTCCATCGTGATCCTGCCCCACACTCCAATCACAAATGCCTCAATCTCACACTCATTCTCCCCACGAGCGATACGGAAGAAACCATTCTCTCCCCAGTTCTTCCCCCAGGAGTTGGCAGCAATCTGAAACATGGATTATGCAATAAAGATTAAGTTGAATCTCTTTAATATCATGTAACAGTGTTTCCTAATACTACATTCTTAAGCTTACCCAATATTTTCTTGCTGTCCCATCGTAGTTTTTCTCCTCTCCCCACCTGGTGAGTAGAAGTCAAAGACAATGTTAAACTGACTGCATCACAGTTGGACAACTATTGTTCAAATGAGGTCGACTTTCTACAAACATGTTTTCTGACATGCACCGACTCAGAGACATAGTTCACATCAGTTTTGACGGTTCAAGCGGTTGTTTTTGTTGGGGTGAAAACTTGTGTTTCATCTTGTTGGCAACATCCTGAGGATCCTGAGTATTTATGGCGGGACAACACCTAACGGCACTCCTACATCATTCCAATCTAAAGAACACGGAATTCCCTTTTCCTCTGTTATTTTTATACAGCCAACATGAAACAGGAAACAGAGGGAAGGTGACGAGGAAGTGAACACACCACAGTATAAGCAAAGGAGACAACACAACTGATGATGGGAAAAAAACAAACGGGTGTGAATCTGAACGTTGATGCTTATCTTGTCCATCACCCTTGCCAGCAGCTTTGCTCCAAAACAAACCTGGCGAAGGTTCATAAATTCCCATCACGCCTTGCAACTTTTAGATGCCTACACTTGTGGTTGGTAGCGAGGAAAGTATTTCTCAAAGAGTCCATTCCCATCCTGTTTTTGCTCTCTGACCCTTTCATTTCCCAAGAGACCCCCATTGCCCAATGACTTGTTATTCTTTAGAAGGGAAAAGAATGTCGGGAAATAAGAGTGATGGGCAACACTGGCAGTGACTTTTTAGGGCAAAGTTTCTTTGAACTTTCTTTGAACTTGAACATGTGTGGTGTGGACTTGACTTCTTTTAAATGCCTGAAATGCTCCGTGAACATCAGATTTAAACTCTAGTTTTACACAGAGAACCAATCACACACCACTGGAGCATCGCCACGTTACTATGGGGTCAAAGGACTTTGTAATCTGAGAAACAGGCATCATCTCTGTGTTAAAGAAGAACGTGTCGTCTAAATCCAACCTAGGCAAACTACGGGCCGTGGACCAGATACGGCCCAGAGATTTGTCCACCAGCTGACCTGCTGGTAACGGACAGTAATGATGGGCATACTACTGATGCCCCTCCACACAGCCCTGACCTCTTCGTCGGAGCACTGATCCCTGTTCTCTGTCCAGTGCAGTCAGGATCAGCAGCCCAGACAAAGACCTTTCCACCACAGTGGAGCCCAATGCTCTCTCCACAAACTTTCCCAGGGCCCGAGCTTAAAGGAACACACTGCTCTGGGCTTTGGCCTATGTAAACAGCCATGCTTGTGGCCAGCAGGTTGAAGCTCAATGCACCATGTTGACAATCTGCCCCTAAACCTGCTTTAGGTTCCACCCTCAGACAGTCACGCAAGTATGGATGAGAAGTTACAGAACGGAATAACAAGAGGCTTTTGGGTAGGGTGCCCTCAGCATCACCGCACACCAACTGTACGTTCACAGTTTATTAAAAAAGGTTGTGGTAACTTCAGTCCAGAGAGTCACCTGACAGGAGACTGTTGAGCAGACACCCGTGCAGAGATATTTCAGAGCAGGTACAGTATGTGATTTAACCTGAGCTAAGTACAGGGTGGAGGTTAAAGGGTGGGGTCTATCATACACACGCAATGTTGTAAGGTATGTAAAGAAACACACGATAAAGGAAGCGCAGAGCTGAGGATTGTGTGAACAGGCTGTATTATGTCTTCCTCTCTGGCCAATCAGATAAAACCAACGAAGCTGCTTTTATCAAAGTGCTGAACTCCCCTGTCTGGAGGTTCTTCTTTCTGTTTCTTCCACAGTAATGTACCCAACAACCTGTACTGCCGTTACAAGGGTGCAAAGGCAAACTTGTTAAAGTAAAAACTCGAATGCTTTTCAGTTTAATGAAAAGTCTGTATAAGGAGATCAATCCCATTTTATCTTAACTGGGATGTACCAATAGTGACACTGGTAATGGTATGAAGACCAATACTTAATTTAAATCTTTTTTTAAATGATAACATAATTATAATTACAATATGATTTGCTGGTTCATTCTTTCAGCAGTCGTTTTTGCTCTGCTAATTTAAATGACTGAAGAGTTTGACGAGTGAGTACGGTGCAGTACATCACTGCCACCACAGCCACACTTAGAACACAGCTGGATGATGTTTCAGACTCGTAAAAAAGAGAGTTAAGGACTTTCAACAGGTCAGAACATCGGACTTCCTCCTGCTCTGTGGATAATCCACACAAACTGCCACAAACTCTTCTTTCTTAGCTCAAAGTAACAGTATTTGGGCATGGAATAAAAACCGTTAGCAGAACAGTGACGAGAAGACGAACTGGGATGAAATGCAGCAGGAAAACGAGGAGACAGGATGGGTAATGAGACACAGACAGTGGGGGCAGGTAATCCAGGTGTGTCAGTCGTCTGCCTGCCTGCATATTTGCGGTCACTGTTGTTACTAGATAAAGGAAACCGAGGCAGACGGAGGCGTGGAGCCAAAGGTGTGTTTCTGAGTTCAATAAACCCGGGTGGAAGCCTGTGCACACGCACGCCCTTGTGTAAATACATCAGCAAAAAAAAGCTTTGAATCAGCTGCTTTATCTACAACTGATTCATCTTTACTTCATACATTTTCTGCTGAAGCTGCAACTGTTTTGTGTGGGATTCAGGTTTGTGCAGCTTCCTGTCCTGACAAAGACTCAGAGTAAAGAAGATTCTTGTCATAAAAAATGACTACAAAAGCCTAGCACTTTCTTCACCTGTGTGTGATTAAAACCTTTAATTAAGGCCACGATCTGAGTTGTGGCACAAATTAACACAACAAATGCAGTACTGGTACAGTGCAGTCAACCTACCCAGTGATTCTGACCGAGTGTGTCCCGTGTTTGCGATACTGTGGAGGTTTGGTAAAGCTGACGTCAGTGTGTTTGTAGATCCCACTCTTGTAAACAAAGAAGTCCTCGTGGACCTCCATAATAGCTGCAAGAACAAACAGGCAGGAGAATAAGTGTAGCACGGACAGATGTACACACAAAAATACAAAATTATACACCAACATGGGCTGTTTATTGCATATTAAAGAGCGGTAAAAAAACATTTACCCAAACCCTAAATTTCTAAGTGTGTGTGTGCGCAGGCTGCACAACTAAGCTGCGCATGACTTCACTTTTTAGCTCCATGGGTTTTGAGATGAAAAGCCCAGATATTCCAGATATTCTAATCTCTTTTGGAAATCTACCTGCTCCAATGCCAGCGTTCAATGGATGAGAACATGCCGTGAACTTTCCTCCTCTTTGCTTAGAGCACGTACACGTACACTCATAAATAGAGCCTATTTATGTCTTTGTGCAGGAGACAAATGCAAAGACAAAAAGGAAACTGGACACAAAGCCAGTATGTCCTGCACAACACTTGCTCCTACTGCTTAACAAAACGCTGGCAGAGACCCATAGCATGGACCCACACACACTCACTTGATGTGAACCCTCTATTCAATTATACTTGACGACGGTCCAGCTGGGCACCAGGCAGAGAGGTGAGCAAATGAAAGGAGGGCAGTTCCACCTTCCACCACACTGACAAGGAAATGTATCGTTTTTTGTTCGAATGAGTGAGGCCAGAGTTTAAACCTCAGGCAAAACCATCAGAGTGGTAAAGGTCAAAGATGACATCATCCCCGGTCACACACAACACAGGGATTCAAGATGGACATATCTGGATTTGTGAGTCCCCTGGGGGGGCATTAACACTCACTGGCAGCTGTGTATGACTTAGAGATATATTGAGGAGGAACACACAGGAGGAGGCATCACCTTACCTTGCACAGGGCCATTTTCCTTAATCTCCTTCATAATCTCTTTTTCCTGCAGTAGAAGACAGAAAAAAAGGATTTATAGGAAGAGCAAGATTGAGTCCCTCAGACCATCCTGATCCTAAAGCTTCACTTATTGACTCTAAAGACCATCAGAAAACAGGACACAACAGGCTGTAATGATTTTGAGAGGCATTAGTTGTCATTTAACAGTGATGGATGAGACCACATGGTCGCTGAAGCTCACTGGTCATAAAAAAGTCACCAAGCACCAGCTGTAGCTAAAGTGGTGACTCGTGCACGAGAGTACACAGCTACATCGTAAATTAAATGATTTGATTTACCGTTCATATTACAAATTTCTTTTCGGACTTAATGAGATTTTTTCATTTGTTAACTTGATTAATCGATTTGTAAATTTCATTTGTCATATTTTTTGTTGAGGGTCAAGTAAGTCGATATCGTAAGGTAAAGACCTACATCTAATTCCAGATTAAATTGTTGACTGAAATGATATCAGATGATGTTTACAGATGATCTTATCCTAAGTGTATTTCTCTAAAGCACTCACTCACTGTCAAGTTTATCTAATATAATTCATCTGCCTGCTCTACGAAAGCCAAGTGGAAACAGCGTACAGCTGAGAATGCTTAATCTTTGACATACCCGTGTTCATCCACGGGGGCTCAAGTATGCATGAAGAATAGGTGTAACAACACATAAAACATGTGAGAGAGTATAATGTCAGCATGAGAAAGTTCCAAAACTGCACTCAGCAGGGTCGACTCAACTCTAGTTGCAGTTCAATGCTTTAAAAGGACCCATAATAGTCACCATTTGTGTGTTAAATACCATAGGAGAGTCGCAGAATGATCAAGACCCGATTCCTGTTCCTGTATCTGTGGTACTTCAGGATCATAACACAATTTTATAAAATATAAACTTTTATAATATTTCATTTTTTTAAATTTTCATAAAATTATAATACTATTGTAACACAACGTAGATCAATAAATTACTAACTAGCGTAAAGCAGAACTGAACTTAGATTTCCAAACTGTGCCATTTTTTCAGATTCAAATTCAGTTTTTCAATTGCTCAATATTTTCACAACAAGAACTAAGGTTTTAAATTCCTAAATAATTGGTTCACAGCAAGATCCCAACATTTTTTCCCTAGCTTTTTCCAATTTCCACGTGTCATTGTTGGGTGTGTGAAGCTACGCAACGCTACGATTGTTAGTGTTCGAAACAAGCGCTCATCTCTTTTGGATATGGCAAAGAAGACAGAGCTTTAAGTCTTACTGAAATCATGAGAAACTGTTGATCAGTACAGAACGATGAGGTGGTGCTGAGACTCATGCCATAATCTGATGATGAAATGTGGTGTAACATCTGGTTCTGCTTTCAGTGGTGTGAACACAGCCTGCTACACTGACAGCACTAAACTTCCAATCACATCTGAGGCTGAGACAAAAAGTCCTTTCCAGTGTGGAGCCGCTGTCTGTGTGTGTGTGCGTGTGTGTATTTGTGCTTACGTTGGTGGAGAGCCTGTATGGTGGTGTGGACTGGTAGATGTCGTTGTGGTAGTTGTGACTGTTAGGACAGCGTTGCGTGGCCTGTCTCTTCCCCCGACCAATCGAGCGGCTCTGCATCATGCAGCGGCTCGCCTCTGCAGGGGTCTGCTGAGGGGGCAGGTAGGGGTAACAGTCTTCTGTTACCACTCTGTGAGAAGACAGGATGTGAGGGCAGGTCGGGTTATCAATAAGTCACAAACCCAGACAGCACTGTACTTGCTTACAATTTAAGATAATTAGCATCATTTAAATGTTTACCCTCTACGTCTGAGGTACCACCAGGCTCCATCAATGCGTCCTCCAGCACAGCCTCCCTGGTTGCGTGTGTCACAAGAAATAAGATTCTGTGGTGACAGCTGAGGGGTCATGTGACCCATTGACTGGATGGAAATTCGGTCTGAAGCCACAGCTGGTGAAAATAATTACATTTATTAAAATTAATTAAATTAACAGTCTAAATTAGTTAGCATGAAGACCATCAAGACCAAACTGTCTACATGTAAGATTTCCCATTTTATCCACATATTTTGTACATAACTACAGTATACCCTCCTAATTTCAGACTGACCAGCAGTTGAGAAAGCCCATGAAGCTGCACAGTTGCCCTGGTCCAGGGGTTCGTGGATTTTCCCCGGCCACTTCTCTGTGGAGTTGAAGTACTGCGGCAGTTGTTCGTTCTGAGGATCCATGTTCATCTGAGGCCACAGAAAGAGAAAAGAGTTCAAAGACATACTGAGAGCTGTCTTGATTTTGAGGTTCCACTACACTGCCTTAGAAAAAACATAAACATATTTTGTTCCTTAAGACAAAACAGTGATTATCTTCCCGACTGAGTGAAAGAAATTTTAAGTGAAACAGAAACAGTCACACCCAGCAAAGATGTTGAGTGTGATGTGAGGCACACCACAATGAAAAGCTGTTTGGGAGCTAACGGCGGTGTGACACGGTGTGTGTGAGAGACAGTTTTGGATCACAGGTCGATTACGTAAGTCTGCTAATTAAGTCTGTGAGAGAAGGAAGATTTTTGGTTATTCATTGACACTAAGTCTTGTTCTTGTCCCTCCTACACAATCATGTGACCTTATGAGTACACACACACGTACTGTCAGAGAGGTGAAGTTACAGTAGTCAGGAGGAGAACTGCATCTTGGTAGTAAATTCCAACAGATGACAACGCCTTGTTAGAACCTACATATTATTCTCATTCACCATGTGTTCCACAGATGCCAAACATGCTTACACTGCTACGTTCCAAGATTGTACGCCGTCCTCACTTCTCCGTAAATTGTGATAACGACTAACGCGATTTCTCTCTCAATTTCTCTCTTGCTCATAAAGGGGCCGCCTGAGCTGCATTCCTCTGATTAACAGGTTAGGTATTCAGCTGAGCAGAAGACCACCTGATATATAACTCAGGAATGTACCAATGGTCAGTAAGCTGTAGTTGTACAGGGTCAAAGTCCAAACATTCAAACGCCCAAAGCATTTGTTGATAAATGAAAGGGAACGGCAGCAGGGATGAGGAATGAACGTTTGTTTGAGGCTGTGTCTCTAACCCAGAAGTCTGCAGACACGCTGGAGGAGAGAGGGTGAGAGATTTATGAATGGGCTACAAAGGCTGTGCTCTGGCTCCTGGCACAGGTGGTGACTTGCACAAAATGCATAAAGAAGCGGGAGGTTTAGGAATTTCAGGTGGCAGAGAGAGAAAGAGGAATGTGAGTGAGGAAGGATGAAACGATAGAGGAATGGATGAAGGGCAGACGAAAGAACTCTCCAGTCAACCAGCATCCCCTCAGCCTCCCCCCTGCCGGGTGTTTTGGTTCCGTTTCAAATAATCTGTCCGTGCAGAATGTAAACAAAGACTGTGTGGATCAGAGCAGGATGAGGCTCCAGACGCAAACGCCATCACATACCAGCACGCCACCATAATTAGGGTGAAAATATTTTGATCACCCCTCTGTAGTACCTGCATATCACAAAGTTTCAATGTCACAACAAGACTGTAACTTTTTTTAATACACATTATCACCTGGTATGATGGCTTACTGCACACATCTACACCTTATAACAACCACAAACTAAAACAGTGTTATAAGATGTTATAAAGTTAAACCTTAAAAAAGGTTGTAGCATTTATTTTAAATAACGACTGCAAACTAATAAAGGATTAATATTTTATTTTATCACAATTTTATAAAGGAAAAAAGTTGAAAACCTGAGAAGTTCCTAATGATAGTCTTAAAGATGACTTTTTACATTTTACTGTGAAATCTAGACTAGAGGTGTTGGTGTTTACGCCGCTGGCAACCAGTGAAATGATATTTCTTCTGTGTGGCTCCTTTAAGAGCCAGGTCAGAGGTCAGGGGTCAGTAACAAAACAGCTGCACAAAGGACATTAGTAAAAGACTTCATGACTTACTAGCTGTAAACTTAAGTGAAGAATTCCTGCTTTTAGGAGTTCCATAATAACTGTACCTGCATCTCATTCATGTTCATGATCGTCTTGGAGGGTCTCTGTGTTCCCAGGCGGTACTTGATTCCCTCATCCAGAGTCATGCCGTACAACTGGCTGTAGTTAGATGCTCTCCACCTAAAAACAAAACATTATGACAAATGTATTGTTTATAGTTTCTTTTCATCAAGTTGCTGTCAAGCATTTATGTGTTTTGAGTTTTTTTTTACCCATAGTTCCCTCTATTGATGCCATTAATCATGTCAGACTCCATCAAACAAGCGTCCTGCTCACACTCCCATCGGCCTGTTGTTCCACACGTACTGGAGAGACAGAGCAGAGACAAAGACATGGGACCACTGTAAAGTATCAGCCCTGTAATCTGATCAAAACTGCTTCAGTTCTCATATTAATGCTTTAAGTCAGTGAGGCCAGGAGCTAAAACGGACAAAAATGATCAAAGACAAATGGGCAGAGGTTCAGCTGAATTCCATAACATTCAGTGGGAAGATGTGAAATGACAGGAATGTTAGGAAAGAGAGGGAAAGGTTAAATAGAAGGTCAGCTTTTCATAGCTGCAGTTTGCAGTCATGCAGTATTTTTAGACTGAGGGAACAAAGGCTTAAAGGAGATGATAGAGATAAAGAGAACAGGATATTAATGAAGATGTTCAGATGTCTGCTTTGAAAAGTGTCTCATTAAAGGTTTTGGGGCTCCTAAGTTGTGAGTTACTAGGTAAACCAGTTTGTCAGGAAGGTTGGAGTTTCAATCTCCATACTGATGTGTTCTTGGGAATGAAATCTAAAGCGTAGCTACTGTAGGAGATATTAGTAAGTGGTTTGAACATGACTGCTTACTATTTTCCTGTTACTTAACAGTAAATTATTCAAGAAAATGCTAAAATAAAAAAGGATCTTAGGATGTCTCACACACCCATCTTATTTGTGCATTGTGGATTATTGAAAAAACATGTATTGTTTACAAGGAGACGCCTCCTACATAGATGTATATGTATATTTTCTTAAACTCAAATTAAGCACTGTGCATATTTATTGAAACTTTTATGTCATATTGACTATTTTTTTAACATTTTAATGTGTGGTTTAAATCGTTTTTTAAGTCTCTCTAAAATAATCCTTATCTTATAAAGCTCAGCTTCTTTAACAGGTCAACCATCTTATGTTTACATCTTTGTTTCTTAAAATTAGAAAAGCTAAGCAAAGCTAACATATTTGTTATATATTAGTTATTTTATCCTACTTTAAAAATATTTGACCACTAGTAGTCACTCTGTCTGGCTTTTCCCCAGAGACTTAATTCTGTCCAATGGTAACAAAGTGTCCACTTTTTTTTGTTTGTTTATTAATTCCCTACAAAAATGAAACCATTTTAATGGAAGATTCTATTTTGGCAGCGATGATGGGCGACAATGACTGAACATCTCATGGCAGAGCGTAAATATTTTGGTTCTCATGTCTCTTTTAAAGGCTCAGCTCACAACAAAATATCTCAGAGACAGTCATGGAGCCTGTGAACCCAGTGTTGGAGACTGTGTGTGAGTGACAGTAGGTATTTATAGGCCATGACTCTGAGTAGGGGAAAGAATGAGGGGTGTTTCCCACACAAAAATCATGTTTACTGATACAATGCAGGGAACCTTCCAGGAGGATTGTTATTACACACACACACACACACTGATACACACATGCACACGCACAGGATTTACACTCCATCCTGCTGCAGTGTGTATCACTTATCAAACTGCTTTCCTCCCTGCTGAGGCGGAGACTGTACAGCACACACAAACACATACACACATCTACAGATGTGGACCGAATGAATAAACCTTTATATCCTATGTCCCACAGAGGACTATAAAATTGCTTTGATTGGAGGACAGAGACGATGACCTTTAGCATCGCTGTCCATTTGGCAGCAAGAACACAGACGCCAGGTCAAAACTGAACCATAAATTCACACTGTAATAGCAGAGCGGTCTCTGTTTCACACATGAACTGAATGATAGACTTATGGAAACAGGGAGGACGAAATATAAGCTGTAAGAATGAGAGGCAGTGGTTTATGTCGCCATCACCGTCCCTTTTAGAGTCTGAGTCGGAGTCTCATTTCAGGAAATGTTCACATTGTAACCTTATTTAAAAACAGCACCAGCAGCCACATTAAGACTTAACTGACAAGAACATAGAAAAACACTTTAAGAAATGATAAGATAAGCACACCGTAAGTGCAGATCACTTATTTGCCTGTATAAATATAAAATTCTGTGAAGAATATCCATCTTTTAAAATTCCCAGAAAGGAGAATTTTCCCATCAATCTAATACAATTTATTAGCACCATCAACAGCTATAAAAGACCCCTGTCTGTGGTTCAATCTAAAATGCATCGACCAAATCCGAGGTGAGATAGTTGCCCCTATAAAGGGGGCATTGCTGCATGCAGTAGGTGCCATGTTTCAGATCATCTGGAGGAGATAAAAGTCTTATCAGGATGTCAGCTGCTCCGGGAGGAAAAAGCCTGGGCCGGAGATCTCATCATCACAACAAAAGAGCTGTTGCACTTATCATGACTCATCTTCACACAGGCGTAAAAAACTGTACCTGCGGAAAAACTGCTATAATGGCTAAGTAATCAACTTGATTAAGATAAAGAATGAACCGGCTGCCTCACAGCACCTGCAGCTACAAAATAGTTGTTTGCTAAGTTGTATGACGACATGTAGAAGAGACAGTTGATGATGTGCGTGGGCTCCACTGCCACTAATGAGGTACTACAGGGAGAGGAGGAAGAGCTGTGTGTAGAATCGAAAAACGGAAACACCGCCTTCCTCCTCCAGTCACAGAGGACGCACATCTGGGAAATTAATAGGGAACGAGAGTGGGTTCAGGCAAAGGGAGTGTTTGTCCCAGTGTGTCCAAGTTGTGGTGCAAGTTTTCGAGCGTCCATGCATATTGCCTTAACAAGTCCACGTGAGAGCGTATGCACATAAAACTCTTTTGTTTGTCGGTGAGAAGGGGGGATTTGGCACATGAACGCAGATCTTGGTAGAGCACAAACACAGGAGGTTATTTTTAACCAGACAACTTGGTGTTTGCTCCACCCCTTCCAAAACAAGTCTTTCTGGAGGAGAAATGTCAGCCGAGCCCTTCATCACCACACATCCTGTGTCTCTGGAAATCCTTCACAGTTTTAGGTCAAACCTCATTGACCAGCTTGATAAGAGTCAGACGTCGGGCCTATCAGAAAGTACTTGTGGACACTGATGCAAGTGGAAGGAGAGGACGATGTTGGGATCAGTGAAAGTCTGCTTTATGTTCATGTCATAGTCATGTCAGGGCAAACTGCCAAGGTGTGGAACTTAATATAAATCTACTTGTTCAGGGTTTTTAGGAACAGGATTTTTCAGGAGCGTGAATTGGCAACGAGGTGAGAAACCGTAGTAGAACACAGGTGAGGAATTCTGTTTTCTTTTCTTCTGCTTCCCCTCACATGAACTCCTGCCACAAGTCTCTGAGCGGCTGTTTAATGTCTACTTCACTATCGTCCATTCAGATAAAAATGACTCAGACCACTGCCATCAGGACACAAAAGGGCACTTTACTGTAATCTAAGAAATGTCCTCAGAAACCTCATGTCAAGACCTTTAAATAAGACGTTACTGTTAAAAAAAACATTACCATCAGTCACCCTGAAGTAGAAAAATAACATGACCCTGTTGAAGAAATCTGACTGAGGGAGCCAGGAGAATTCTGAACATGGAAGTCACAACAAACAGCGAACTGATGTAATCAGGAGGATTTAAAGGTACATAAGGAATGAGGAAAACTGTAAAGATTTTGAGTAAAAACAAACCAAGTCTGATTTGGTGACTGCCTGGGCCGTGACAGTGTGACTGAAGTGTCAAGTCTGACCACTGAAACTGTAGCAGCTAAAATATTTATTAAATTATTCATTTGATTGTGAGATTAACATGGATAAAGCTTAAAGCCCTGAATAATTAATGTATAAGTTATTATGTGGATCAACACCTTGGAAATAAAGACCTTCCTTTGCTACGTAGATGGGTTCTGTGTGTATGTTACTGTTTATTTTGTGGTATAATTTGGTTAATAGACAACATTTAAATAGTTGTTTTATACCGTATAAGGTCAAAAGTAGTACCAGGAAGAAACAGTTACCTCGATAAATAATATAAAAAGAATTTAAACACCACCATATGTTCATATTTCCATTGGTGTTTTTCCTATTTCTGTTTTCAGATGTCATTCCATTTTTTTCTTTCTTTAAACAAATATAACAATTGATTATTCACAACCATTCTATTCAATGTTTTAGATTTTATTTGACAGTTAAAATCAGATCATATGTAAATGTATTTAATCAAGTAAATAAAGAGTCAGTGAAAAGTGTCTTTTTTTATGAACGTGAAGTAGAGATTTTAAAGATCTCAAAGCTCCTTAAAGCTTCACTTGAGTTAAAGCCTAGATTTAGAAAGCTAAAAGATAAAAGTGTCGGATGAAAGAGGGATTTTACATACCATAGGTTGCAGTTCTCTTTGTACGTCTGCCCTGAAAAGAACCTGTGTCCATTTCTATCACAGGTGCCTGAATGAAGACAAAGAGACAGACATTCGTGAGACATTTTCAGGTCACACAGAGACACAACGTGACTTGGGCAGCTTCCATAATTCATATAATACAAACGCCAAGCAATGACACATTATTTACATGAACACATAGTGAAGGAAGCTAAGTGCAGGTTGGTGCAGTATAAGTGAGTCTGTGTTGTATGTGAGGTCTAAAGAGCTCTGGGTTCCAACAGTGGATTACTGAGCTCCAGTAATCTACTGTTGGAATGTGGCATTAGCTTCTCTGTCGGTTTCCCAGACATTTTTGTGTGTGTGCTTTAACCAGCTTACTCTTAACTTTCCACCTGCTTTGAAATCAATGCAAAGAGCCCACAAACGCTTCTAACAGGCGCTAATTGGATGAGCACGCGTCTTTAAACGAACGTCCACAGCCGCTCTTGATTTTTGGAAACTGGCTGCTCACAGGTAATAAAAACCACACTGATTCTCTTGCTGACAGAACCCCAACAAGGTTTATCTACACGCTGATTTACAGTGGCGGGAGAGGGGGCTGTCAGTGTGGATTTCTTATGGAATTTACAGCATGAGCTGGCTGCAAATGTACAGTGTGTGTATGTTTTCTACACCTCCGAGGAGCTGATGGTGTGATTTACAACTGTGAAACCCATTCTCTCACTCTCTCAGTTGCCTTTGACAGCCAATCACAACTCACTTAAGAGCTCAGCTGCAGACTGGGACAAGTCACATTTTTAGGGTAGAGGTAATTTACATGGAGGAGACAGTTAAGCTGCCAGTCAGCTATGTGATTCCATGTAATGCATGGTTGTGACTTTTTTTTTTTTACTGAGCACATTTTTTTAACATTTTTTTTTTTACTGAGCACATTTTTTTCCTTTAACTGCTGATTATAGCACTCCATACTGACATTTTGGCCAACAGTAAACCTCAGGGTGTGTTATACTCTTATACTCTATACTCTCTGTTATACGTTTTTCCGGTCTGCATGTCCCCAACACCTCTTCACTGAGAGGGAAAACATACCTGCATGGTGCTCCCTCCTTCTCCGTCACCAACACCACCCTTCACTCATTGTCTGTCTCTCCCTCTGCATTGTCCACATTCTTTTCCTGCCCTCTATTCATTCTTTCATCCCTCCCCCTGTCTAAGTTTTATAAGAAACCTACTGTTCCCAGCTCAGCTCAGCTCAGCTCAGCTACACTGGGAGAACTGTAGGTATAAATACACCAAGAGGTCTTTTTTTAACAAAAACTGAAAGACAGTGATATGACAACAATACTTTAACAATACTTGAAGTCATGCTTTACTGCACGCCCACCCACACTTACCAATGAAAGGTGGCTGCACACCCAAACAGTGATTCCAGAAATCTGGGCAGCAGTCAGACACGGTGCGGTTGCAGAACAGATCGCAGTAGCAGATAGTGTCCAGGTAAGGCACTGTGCACTGGTCGTCTCTGCCCGGGCAGCAGCCTCCTCTCCTTTGGCAGTAGGAGCCAAATGGGTCTCTAATACCACCAACATGGAGTGGACTGGCCAGGTCCCTCTTGGTCCTCCTGGACAGGATTCTGTCTGCAGTACCCTCAGCCACCACCAGGAGCAACATGGAAACGGTCAAAAGCGCCAGCTTCATGATGAGTCTGTAAAAAACAGAACGGTCCATTTAGATAAAGATGACTCTACTCAAGACACACCTTGAAGGTCTTTGTACCACTGGCCTACTTTAACATGCAACACCCAAATACAGGGGCACCAGGGTGGGTTGCCACAAATAGACACTGACAGACATTTTTTGCAGAGAAATAAATAAAGCAGGCAGCAAATGTTCTGAGTAGAGACTCATGTGATAGCTGGAGCTCGTCTGCTTATTTTGTCCAAGTTTTCCTTTCAGGCTGCCAAGACAAACAGAAGCTCAATGTGAAAATGCACTCAGC